GAGCATAGCCTGCTCGTCCTGTGGGATGTTGTGGAAACGAAGGATGGCAAGACCTCACAGGAAGCATTCTTTCGCTGTCTCATTGCCAGCCATTCCATGCGGATGCAAGCAGATGACCTGGTGCCGTCTTTGATGTGAACAGCATTCACCCAGGACTTGCTTCAGCAAATCGTCCTGTCTGGGGCCAGTCTGATGGTACTGGGTGTGATCTACTGTACAATAGGCCAATCTTGCCCAGCAGGTCCCACAGTTTTATACTGGACTGGTTGGGTAAAGTCGAATTAAGTGTTTGACATGTTAATGAAGACTTATGACCCATTAAACAACTGAAGGCTGCTTTACAGTGGAACAGGTACTACATTCAGTGACCTTGCATGTTGGTAATAGTACTGTATCACTTAACTGTCATTGATTGTTTACACAGTGTAATTAAGAAGGTCTCACACTGTGCAATGTTCACTTCATGGCCTGACATCTTGTGACCCAGACAAAGGCTACGGTCACACTAGAGTTTCAAGCCTGGCTTGACTCACAGCCGGTGAGATTTTCGTAATGTGACCGCATCTGCACCGACTCGCGCCTGGCGTGACCTCGATCTCAATCTACCTATCTCGATCCCGGCTCAGCACCGATATCGACCCTGGATTGACCCTGGCGTGACCGAGATTGACATTTCCTCGTCGGCTGTCGACCAATCACAGTCGATGACGCCGTTGCGTTTAGAAGTTCTTGAATAAAAAAACCCGTGAGTTCTTCATGTGTGTTCAATCAAGACGCAATCATTACTTTTCATAAAAGTTAATTCAAATTTTAATTAATAATAATGCGATTGATTTGGAGCGACCAGGAAACAGCTGACCTGGTAGATTTGTGGGGCCAACCCGAGCTGGGAGACCGGATAGAAAATAAAAAAAAACAAACAACAAAACTTGAATTTTTGGCGTGCTTGCTGACAGATTAGCCAGTCTCGGACATGAGAAGAGAACGACGGCCCAAATTCAAACAAAAGCGAAGGCATTGCGAGTCCAATACAAGCTGATAAAAGATCTGTTGAAGAAGAGTGGTTCGGGCACATCTGGTGTAAAATCTTTGATTGCGATCCACTCAATCACACACGCGTATATCGAATCCAGTGAAACAGAGTTGGCCAAACTCTCTCTTTATGGCTCTGCTGTTTCGACTTTCATAATTTGAAGGTCAATCCAACTAGTGTGACCGACCCAGAATTTTAAGCCTGGCTTAACACGCTAGTGTGACCGTAGCCAAAGCCTTCAGACTATCGAACTGGTTTTCCATCAGCAGTATACCACGATACCATTACCCCCCATCCCCTCCCAGTCACAATGTGAACCTCGTTTTGGAGTGGTTCCTTATTCCCTAATTCACTCAAAGTGCAAACCCAGCTCTCTGCGCAGCGAGTCCAAACAAATAGGAATGGGCTTCAAACACCTGCAACAGGGTTTGATGGTAACGAAAATGCTGCATTACTGCTTTGGCTTGCTCAACAATTTCCTGAAAAACACCCTCGTCAACTCGCTGCCCAAGCGCAGGGACGCAACAAGTTGATGAAGGCTGCAGAATGGCATATATAAGGTTCACTCTAGGCTGCCTGTAATAATTCAGGGAGGCTAGTTTATTGTTCACTGTTTTTTTTTTTTTTCTGCAGATAATTGCATTTGATGAACTGAAGACCGATTATAAAAATCCAATTGATCAGTGTAACAGTCTCAATCCTGTAAGTATAATACAAACTTTTGTCAATATTTTATTGAAAAAAAAAACTTCAAACAAATAAGTGTTCATGCAGACCAGCTGTAAAGAGATGATTGTGTCTGGTGAAGTCTGTCAGTGCAATATTTCATCAGACAAAAGTGCTGTTCAAATTGTTTTTTTTTTTTGTTAAACTAAATCTAACTGGTCAGTTCAACCAAAAAATCTTGAGTAAAATTGTCATGGGTCATATGTCAAATTATCTACACTGCAAGGTAAGTTTAACCCAGTTAGCAAAGTTGGTGAATAAAAGTACATTAATCAAAAATTGCATGATGCATTTTGTGCACCCATTTTTTTGAGAATACAGAATTCAGTATTTGACATGTGTATTTCTTCCTTTTTTTTTTTTTTAGCTGGTTCTTCCAGAGTATTTTATTCACTTACTCTATACAATCTTATTCTTCTGTGCGTTTCAAGTTGTTACAGTTTGCCTTAATATTCCATTGGTTGCATATCATATTTACAGGTAAGAAGTTAGTAATAGATAATAAGAAAAAATATAATAATGTTTTGCACAGTGTGTCAGATTTGCTCAAATTTGCAAACTCTTCTGAAGGTATTTTTTAACAATGGTGATGATAAAATGTGTTATCTGATATTAATATAGCAGCTTTTGTATTTTTTTCTCATACTATAGTTTGTTCAATTATTCAATTTCAATTCAACTTTGAAATTTGCAACTTGGTAAATGATAGGCCATTGAAGACTTTCTTGAAATTTTTTGAAATGTCAATAAATATAAAATCCAAGGATTAAACGTTAATGCAAATTTATGACCAAATTTAAAATGTATGCATTGTGTATATACTGTATACAGTAAAACTAAAGTCAACTCTTCCCCAACTTCAATAATTTCTAAGCCGATCATATGTTACATGCTAAATTGTTGTTTTTTCTGTAAGTCAAATTTTATCCAATGTAATTTACAGTAGTTAGATTTATATAACGCTTTATACCGAAACGGTCTCGAAGTGCTTGAGGTGCGGACTAGCTCTTATAGTAATTTGCTTCTCCGCTAAGTCTCTTCATCTCTGAGCTAACTGTTATCTGGGTTCTTTTAAGTGCACACAACACAAGCCAAATTGTATACACTGGGCCTACGGTTTATAGTCCTTGTCTGAGAAGACTTGTCCCACCACCAGAACCATAGACGAGTGTGCCATTCGAACCAGCGCTGATATTTTGGCTGTACTGTAGGTTACGGTGCCCGTGCCTTAACCCCTCGGTCATCCAACTATTTTCAATGCCATTTTGGACTCGACTTGGGAAACTTCATCTGTATACTAGATTAATATTATACAAATTTATATTTAAATACTGTATATAATACAGTAATCATGATAAATGCACTCAAGATTTTGATAACATGAGGATGATGGTATTTTGTGTATGATTATGCAGTGTTTATATATTATGTTGTACGAACAGATTTGTATGATTATTGCAGGAGCCCCAAGTCACTTCCTGCAGATCTGGTTTAAAATGAGCTTTCGTAACACATTTTATTTTATTTTTCTGTGACATGGTGATGCCCATAGTCACTGATTTCTGTGAGAACCTTGATAAATAAAGTAGTAAAAATGTGCAAATATTATGAATTTGCAGAAGATGGGCCATTTTCCAGAATATTTGTGCGTGCTTGCAAGAGTGCAGGAGGACTTCCCGATTTCGAAGAGATTCCCCTGATTTACAAAAGACTTGGGACCCTTGTCATTCCAGCCTGTGTGATCAATAAGTTGTATAACAAAATGTGCAATGCTCCATCATAGATAGAAACAGATGGAGAATTGTCACATAAAAGGTTCTGCCATTATCTTTCAGATATGCGAATCGTCCAGTTATGTCTGGGCCTGGATTGTATGATCCAACCACAATAATGAATGCAGACAACCTATCAAGGTGTATGAAGGAAGGCTGGATTAAATTAGCATTTTATCTTCTTTCTTTCTTCTACTATTTGTACAGGTTAGTAAAAATTAATTTGGATAATAAAATAAAGAACAATTTTTTAAACAGTTTTAATAATTTTGATAATTTGTTATATTGCTGAATTTTTATTTAATAATAATTAATCTTATATTTTTTACCTATTGACCTTTAATTTTTTTTTTTTTTGGAAGTTGGAATTGAATGGGAACACCATTTCTGCTGATAGTAGTTTTTTATAACTTTCCCACTCCCCTCCCTCCCCCTTTCTCCTCAGCCTCCTTTATTCTTTGTCTTTGTTTTAAGTTTACTTATGTGTTGTATTATTTGCTGGAAGAAATAAAATAAAATAAAATATACATAAAAGAATTTAAATCACTTTTTTGATATGGATATTATGACATACAAGTTTACAATTTAAAAATAATCTGGTATGATTTTTATGATGTTCATTCATTTTGTTTTTCATTTTTTTTAGTATGATCTATGTTCTGGTGTCATCTTAGCTTACTACAAGTGGTGAAAAAATTATCAACAAATTGATTTGTGAGGCCACACAAAACAATGCAAAAAAAAAAAAAAAAAAAAAGCAAGTTTCAAAGAAGCTAGCTTATCACAAAGCTTCAGAATTACAGTGAGGGTAGCCATCACTCTGTACTAAGCTTCAAAGAGGCTACCTCCAAACCACCAGGCCAAGATTTCTAGGAGACTGTCTACAGTCACTAGATATCTAAAGACTAACTATATATTTATTAGGCGTCACAGAGCTGTCACCTAATTAACAATGTATGTAGTTAAAATTAATTTTGTAAGAGTAGATAGGAATACAAAAAGTAGATTGTTTCAATTTGTGATATTCAATACAATCAACCTTACCTAAGCAAATAATTATTGATAATATATAGTTGGTAGTCAGGAGGAACAATTGCTCTCTCCGTGTAGGATGATTTCAGTCGTGAACCAATTTTGCCCCGATGTACAGGTATATAACACATTTTGTATTGTATGTTTTCAGTCAATTTGATTCATTGAATGGCTATTAAAACCCCTAATACTGATATGTGTGTGTTTACTTAAAACATAATAAAATTGTGTGTTAGGCAAAAGACATTTTGGTAAATTTTGTCAAGTAAAAATCCTTACTTACTGGTTACTGATAGATAAAAAACCTGTTTGTAAAGAAAACATAGGTGTATTGTATTAATGTTAATACAACACATTTATTTCCTGATTTTCAAAGTGTTTGTGTATGCATCGCTAGACTTGTTCACGACCGAAACAAACAACATTCTTTCTGTCTGCCATTTTACTAATAATTTGTGTACATCTTGTGTGATTGATTTTACTCAGTACTCTGTATTTTTTGCTGAATTAAATTGTGGGCTCAGTTTTATTTGTGTGATAAAATTGAATAGTTTTTCAAGCAGCTTTTACAATAATAATTCATTATGCATTGATGAAGTTTGTTATGTTCCCAAAGAAGATTGTTATTAGTATTCTTACTTACATTAGTAATGTTTGTTATTTTTATGGTAGAATATGTATTATTGTTTTTGATCAATAAATGTTTGAGTGTTACAATTGTTGTAAAGCTACAGTATTAGCGTAAAGCCCTGTTCAGATGATCAAATTTCCTTTGACAAAAAAACGCTGTATGCCCATACAGTCATGATGTACCTATATATGGTCATGTCACATATTTGTGTCAAATAAAATGTGATTGTTTGGACAGTCCCTAAGAAAAAAAATGACTGAAGACCAGGGGTTTAGCCAGAAAAATGAAATAGGATGTCCAAAATGGAAGCCAGTGGCTTGGGGCCACACCCCTCCCAAACATAAGAAAAAAAATTAGAAAATTATGATCTTTAGAGGGCATTTAAAGGTGATTAAATGTTGGAATTTTGTCTTGAATACTGTAGTGTTGAATTAGCTATCACAAGGATATTTTAGTTAAAGACATAGATTGCGCATGGCTATGGTTATTCACATAATTTTTTTAGGCAATGCAAATGCTTCATTATCTCTCGCCTTAATCTAGTGTAAATTCTACTCTAGTTCCTCCGAATCGAGAGATAGGCCTAGACCTACTGTATTTTGTTAACTAATAAAATTTCACTTGTGACGTTAACAACAAATCTTTACGGTATCATAAACTATCCAAAAAATTAATCTGGAACGATGTAACTGTCAATACTCAATACATGCAAATATTAATGAAATGTTTTACTTTGGAGATTTCAAACTTATATTCTTCATTTTTTTTGCTTCAAATTATCAAATATATCATCTTTATATGGAAGAATAAAAGATAAGTACTTGTTGTAGCATATGCAATTGTAGTGTTTCACAGACCAGTAAATGGTGCTTGTATATATCTGTTCATATTTCCTCTTATCATGTTCCCCACTGATATATTCCTAACTAGTAAAAATTTAATTACTGATGTATTAATTATCAGTAATCTTAAAATATGTGTAAAGAATGCACTAAATAATTTTTATTGATGTTTTCGTTATGATATATCAATAGATCAGCAGGATATTATGATTGTTAATGGTGTATTGTTTGTTAGAAGTAATCAATTCACTGCCAGGAGTTAAGTAACAGAACGTATGCTACATACAGCACCTTTGAGCATGAGGAAGTATTTTTACTGTAATAGTACATTCAAGGAGGCGGTATTTGTACGGTAACAGTTTCAAGTATGAGAAGCCACTTGCATTTATGGTTAAATGAGCATTTTTTTATATGCATGGTGATATCCATCGCCAGGTCACTTTCAAAAATATGGGTTAGTTTCTAGTAAATTTTTGTTTGCTCACTGGAGTATGCGAGTGCTTCCTGATTGCCAGATTTCCTCAGGACACTTGGGATCCCTGAGTAGGGCCTACATCTAAGGAAAGTACTGTACTGTACCAGTAGCGTTACTTTGAAAAAGGTACTGCGTATATCAAGATGCTGCCTTCAAGGCATTACATCAGCTATAGGAAGTACTGTACAATGTATTTGAAATTTATATGGTTAATTACCCATCAATAGCATAACTAGATACAGTTGCACCATGGAGGTATAAAAATATTTATACCTCCATGGTTCCAGTAACTTCTACCGTACAATAACTTGTAATTTTGTATTGTATTGAAGAACTTCATCTTGAATAAATGTCTGAAATTGTTCTATAGATTGATCTCTTTGTTGTTCGTATCATGAATTGCTCAGTAGCATTTAGTCTCTCTTCAATAGTATGAACCATTAGCATCTAAATTTTACATGCATGTCTTTTAAAGACTACTGAAATCATCCATTTTCCTTCAGATGTGCCTGAGGCTGTTGTATGAAAAGACAATGACTATGGGGTCATCCATAATTTTCATGTGTTACAACATGCCCTTTTCTGAACCCCTACTTCCACAATGATTTTTTTTTTGTCATTTTGAGATCAACTACCCCTCCCTGTTAAAGCATATGTTTTGTACTATAATGAAAATGGTCACTAAAAAACATTCACAGCATGCAACATTCACATTTCATCTTTAAAGGAAATCTGTTGTTTTGCAAATATATAGGTGTAATTTTGCCCTACTTGACATGGAAATGTACTGAATACTCAGTACATGTGAAAACAATTGCGAAAAAAATCGCAAGTTGTTCTCAGGCATAATACCTCTTGTATCTGTTGGCCAGGGTTGAATTTGAGTCGTAAGCAGCGAGTACTGCAATGTTGATAGTAACTGTTAATAATGTGATGGATTTGTGGTATACCAGTAATCAATAAACAGACAACATATTATATTGTATTTTTATTAGTATTCACTTGGAAAATATAACTCCACAACAACGGAACAAGCCATAATAGGGGTATTACCTGAGTGGGAAGTCAGGGGCGGTGTCTGGATTTGCCTGATGTGGGTGGTGGAGCGAATCTGTCGGACAATAGAATTTGACAAATTCCGATGGAAACCAGCAAGATTTAGAGCTCAGTCCTAAAACATCAGGACAAAAATCAGGACCATTTTCTGGTTTTCCTGAAATTTGTTTATTACGCACAATTTTTTTTAAGGTACAGTATAAGGTTGAGGCAGGTGGGTGCTTGGCATGTCTGAAGGGTTGCCTAAGCCCCTTTTCAGCACTCACCCCATTACTGTGCACTGTGTCGGATAGCATCCTATGCCTTCAAATTACAGTATATTATGAAATACTGTAGTTCCATTGTTGTGCTGTGTATATTTTAGTTACATTGAAAACAATGGTGTTACAAGAATCTCTAAAAATTGTTGTAATGCTTCATTTAATGCTATAAATGTTTTTTGCAGTTGACGTAATCAGATTATGTTGAGCGAAGATTGTTAATTAAAATTTTTACCATGATTCAAAACCATGCAACAATACTGTACAAATGCAAGTACAAATAAACTTTGGTTATGTGAAACCAGCTATATTTAATCTGATCATGAATAAATGCCAACTTTAAAATAGACTAACATTATGTTACACAATAATAAGAAAATCTATTTCGGTATGAAATTCCTATCAAAATCTTAATTCTTTTAATACTTACGACACTGTAACTGTATTAAAAAAAGAAGATAGCTAAATTGCACACTGTTAACAAATTATACCAAACTTCCTTGGTGTAGAAAAATAATCCACAAAGAATCTGTGACTCTTTGGTTGAGTGTACTTTGCATTTCAATGGAATGCTTAAGAAAAATATATCAATACATGATTTTAAATAATTACTTAATTTTCCCTGCTTGTATCACCAACAATTTTTTAGGCTTTATCAATTTTAATTTGTTTACAAACCAAAAGTATTATTTCACAGCCAAAACCCTTGGATATTGTATGGCAGTCAAATCTTGCACTTTCAGACTAGTGACCTGAAGTTTCAATCAAACATAACTACTGGCCAAATAGAATAGGGCCAGGAATATATTCACATACCCAATACAATTTCAAATGCCAATTTTTGGAACCTGAACTACAATATCCAAGGGGCTTAGCGGAATGATCCAGTAAATAAACTTACACATATTACAAGAAAATGAGGTTTAAATCGAAAAGCTTGAAATTCCATATAATTCTTAATTTTAATTATTTTATGTTTGCAAGAAGTTAGAATTAGGACAAAACTGTTGTTACTGGATTTTGTAATTTTTTGCCTTGCATTACTGTGATCCACACTTTATTCCATTTTGTATATTTTTATGTCTTTTTAAAGTGATATTATATATTGCCCTTGAAATAAAAATCGGATTACTTCACCTACCCCGCACCTAAACATCCTGCCAATACACTGTACTAGTAACAAGTAAAAAGAGACACCATAACAATGGTGTTTTCCTCTTCTTCACAAAATATAACTGAAACTATAGTCCATAATGTTAAAGATAATAAATTACTTATTAAATGTATTGAGTATTAGTAGCAGGACCAGTGCTAGGAAACCTGGGCAAAACATTGATTACAGTTTAGGCCCCTTATCTTGCATATGAAGGTCAATTACAAGAGTCTTGAGCCACTCTCCTTCCCTCTTATCTGCAGTCATGTAAAATATTTATCTGAAAAACTTCAGCTTCTCTATCAACCATTCTTCAGTAAATTCTTCAACTGAGCGAAGCTCAAATACCTTTTAAGAAAATTAGAGACAGAAATTTTCAGTAGGTTGATAGAGTCACAATGCGCAGGAACGGTTTCGTTTCCCAACCTCGAGGTTGGGTTTTCAATCCCTAGTTATGCATTTCGCTTGTGTCCTTGAGAGTAAGGCACTTTATCTGCGTTTGCTTCTCCCCATCTAAGAGTATAAATATGTACCTGGTGAGGATGCCAGCTACTGCGCCAATATGGCAGCAACACTATATGGGCCCAATGACCAGGGTAAACAAAGCGCTTTATAACCTAAAGGAAAGGCACTATTTAAATAATAAAATAACGATCATAGATTTAGCAGTACTTTTTCTTGTTAATGTGTTAGCACAATGGTGACCCAAATTTTTTGCCAGGGTGGCGTAAGTAGCAATCTTGGACCTATGTGTTGAGTCCACAGGGCTATTCCACAAGAAGTATTGCAGTTTTAGCTGAGAATTTGGTTTAGAGGAATTGTTCCTGCTTCTTGTTCAGTTTTAATTGGAGTCTGAACACTCAGCTTCTCAAATAACCCTCACATTGAGAGTAAGGTAATATAAGAAATATTATTGTTAAAAAAAATTTGCATTTTGACATATCATGTTAAAGAATCAGAAAAGAAACATTTACAAAAAAGAAAAAAGGCCACCATTGGCATCAAAATAGATGTAAAATTTGTCTCATTTCTACCCCATGGCAAGCAAGAAAACAAATAAATAAGAAAGAAAATAAAAAATATACTGTACAAATTAACGCTGCAAATATAAATAAAATTACCTTTGTAAATCCCCCACTATTTACAACACTCAGTTTACTTCCTGCATACATCATTTGAAGTTCCGGCTTGCACCCTGAGAACAATGATAATTTGATAATTTAACAAATATACAGAAGTGATATTTTGCCCTACCTAACGTGTTCTTATACTGAATACTCAGTACGTCCCCAAATACTAGCGAAAAAAAAAGGGTGGAAGTGATTCGGGTGGGAATCGAACCCACGACCTCCAGGCAACTAGCCTGATGTCTTAACCACTAGACCACCGAGCTTGCGATTTGTGGCTAGTGACGAATCTGATCCCCAAGTAGCAGTGGGTACTGCAAGTGCTACTGAGATGTGAGTTTGCGTCAGGAAAATATCATAATATAGCACATACTTACATCTTAATAGCACAATAGCATTGTTGTTATTTGCTGGTTGCTGTAATTGTTTATTTATTGGTTTGTTTTTTTTTGTGGTTGTTGCTGTTGTCATTATTACTATTAATATTATCATCTTATTATATTTTTTATAAATTTTACCGGAAGGACTGATGAATATAAACACGAAAGGGTACGACACTCTGCCATCGTCATGTGAAAGTTTATAGCTGTAAGCCAGGTATCTTGGCTGATGCTGGGGCAACTCTTCCTGTATTTCATCTGGAAGCATATCCTGCAAACAAATAAAAATGACAGTGGATATTGTTACACCAGACAGAATCATAATTTCTCATTGGATGTTATTGTATGTATAGATTGGATTAAAATAAAATATAATCATAAATATGTATTTGTTTAAGACTGGTGTAAGAATAGCCACTGTCATGAAAATATTCCCAAATGCATAATACTGCTAGAGATGGCTATTTATTAAGGCTACTGCATAATTATTTGTTTTAGCTGTAGGAACACTGTGTCAGACATTTGCAAATACTGTCAAAATTAGGTCCCCTAAAATAAGAGAAAAAATAAATGAAATGAAAAAGAGCATGGTACTACAAAAAAAGCTAATTTTCAATTTATATTCCATGTGCAGTGTACAGTATATAATCAAACATTTTTCAAAACACAAATCTCATAAACAATCACCAACCCTTCTTCTCACCTGTGTATCGCATCATTGCATGGCCCCTAGATTTTTCTCTTGACCTGCCCTTTTCTGTGTTCTACAAGACCAGGTTTTGTTTGCATTTTTGTATGGTATTGAAATACAAACTAATATTTAGCGTTCTTTGTTTAATATTTTTAAATTAAATCCTATCAATATAGATAATAAGCTAGCATTTGAGACAATTTTCAAGTAAAATGGCTTACTTTCAACTCTTCATCTACAATTACAATTTTTCGTTCTGTATCTATTTTCACTGAAAAAAAAAGCAAAACAAATATCACTCAAATATCGCTATGAACAATATGCAATCAACATTAATATAATTTACCGAACACGATATCGAGTACAGTATAAGGTTTGATGTTTAAAATACAACCTCCCTATACTGTGGACCAAGGTGCAACAGTATGTATGTGGAGTAGTTTTTCTATGCCTATGTAACGACCACCGGGGATATAAGACAATCAGAAATGTCACGCATGAATGAATCATGGATATACCGCGTGCTACTGTACAATATAAACATTAAATAAAATGTTATTACTATAACATAACAGAAAAAAGACTTCGCATAAAATATACAAAGAAAGAAAAATAATTATAAGTCCAGTACAGTCGCGACAGACCAAAATAATCTTCTAATACTTTAATAGGATAAACTAACATAAATAATTTAATATTGGTATTGGTCTTGTTTTAGGCTACCAATAATAGTCTTTGCTTCTGTGCGGGTATTTTATCTGGTTCAGGACTGACCAAGAAGACTTGAAGATACTCTACTTAATAAGATTAATAACATGGCAAAAGTAGTACACAATTTTCCAACAATGGTCATTGTAGCTTTATTATTATGATGTTGCTTTCATTAGATTTCCATTTAGGAGGGGCGTTTATTTGAGGGAGGCATATATTCCAAATGAAGGGGTGTTTATTCAAAGCAGAGCGTAATATAATATTGCAAAATAATACTTATATAGCTTTTAGGGTGTAGCTAAAAAGTGATGTAAAATCAAAATGTATATTTAATTGTGACATTTGTGGATTAAAGAAGAATTGAAATTAAAAGTTTTAGGTCCATTCATGGAAAAAATATGTTTTCTCCATGTCCATCCAAGCATTCTCCAACGAGCAGCAAAATTGTATAACGCAAACAGTGTTTAATTAGAGAACTATCTTTCGTTAATGCTTATTTTTCCATGTAAGGTTTTCCATGCAAGTAAATTTTTTTTTACAAATGACCTATGACCTGAGCCCTGGATGATGCCAGGCATTTTGAGCGCATTTTTGCACCCGTGGTGGGTTCAAAAGGATGGCTTCCATTTTATATGAATTTCTAGGTGATCACATCAGTATAGAAAGAGTAGACCTTCTAGATCAACTCGTAGAATACACAATTAATGCAATTTCCAATCAAGATGAACAGGTTCGTATCGTTGAGTGTTTAAATAGTCTAAACACACTGGCCAAAAATGACACCACACGTGGCAAAACTGCCGTTAGAGCTAGGCCTGGAAAGTCCGCTCTTTCTTCAGACAATGAACAATTGGTGGACAATGTAAGGTCATCGACATTGGTGACTGATGGTGTGGGTGTGGGCTTAGGCGTAGGCCTTGTAAAAAATTTTGCAGTCGATGCCAAATATCAGCAGACACTCGAAAAAATAATCGCTCGTGTGTGTTATCCGCTGTTTGAATGTGATTTGGAAAGAAATTTTAAACTCACGACCAGTGCCAGTGGTGGTGTAAATATTTTCCATGCTGCATGCGAATTATGTTTAACTTGTTTGAGCCTAGCCAATAGATCTCAAATAAGGAATATAATTTATGATGCTGCACTTGTATCACTTCAAGCTTATGTTGAAGAGCAAAGATTTAGCGAAAATATGAAAAGTCTTCAATTAGATTCAGTTATCCCAATATATACCACACTTGAGATTTTAAGTCAATTATTTGAAAAGTCTACTAACAATGAAAAAGGCCAAATAACATTTTGTATATTGATTGATAACGATTGGCTTGATGCATTTTTCTTGGAACTGCTCAACGTCATTGAACATGCTGAAGATGCAGTGTGTGGCCTGGTGGCTACTATTCTGATCCCAAAGTCTCTAAAATGTAGTGATGCAACCGACAAAAAAGTGTTGATTTTATGGGAAAGAATTAAGCAAATGCTATCTTCTTCAAAGCCGTATGTTCAAGATGATATCAACCATTCAAATAATTGCTTTATCGTATTATGTGCCTTCATCAATTACTTTCATCCGAACACTAATTTGCTAGACCAGCAAGATATACTTGCAGCTGTTTTATCAGAAAATTTGTTTTGGGGCATCATCCAGAATGGGTTTTCGAAAGGTGATTCTTTGACAAGAAAGAGAGCTTTGTACTTGCTGAAGAGGGCGGTAGAGTTATCAGAAGGAATAGAAAGGTTAGGAGGAGATGGAAATGAAGGAACTCTAGTCCCTTTATTCCAGTGGCGTCTACAAAACCAAGCTGCCCTTGTAAAGCTTTGGTCAGACATAATTTTGATTCTGGAAACATTGGAAGAAATACAGGTAAAACAAATTTATTTTAATTGCTGTGTGCATTCAATACACACACACACACAAATACACATTTATATTTATATATAATAAATCTTTTAAAGTGTTTTTTTCATGAACAAGAAATACCAACAGTGTTATAAATACTTTAAACTAGAAATAACGTACACTAAATAGTTTTAAAGCACAAGTGGGCAAAGTATTTTGTATATAAAAACCATGCAGGCAGGTGGAGCTTACAAATATTTTACCCAGGGCCTTGACTGGAAGGAAACAATTTGAATTTTAGGTTTGACGTAACTTGCTCTATATTTACTTTTCAGATTCATGTTGTTATGCCAGTAATGACACGGCTTTCCAAGGTCATTGAAGCCACATATTTAACTGCTTCAGGTATTAACAATATTCTTTTTTTTTTTTAAATTATATATATGATAAACTTTGTAGGTTTACTTATTCATGTAACAAATAGGGATATAGTGATGTGAAAACATGTAGGTTTCAAGTTTGGTGCCAGGATTCCCTGGACAGAGGGCCCGATCCAATGAGAGTGCAAGTAGGCGTGGTCAGATGTCCCTCAAAATCACTCGGAGTGGTCAAGGAGGCGAAACTATGACAAAGGGTTTTCAGAGGTTTATTTAATATATTTCAGAGTCTAAAAAAAATATACTTTTTTCCCTCCATAATGAATTTTTTTCTCCCTGACAGGGCTGGTCAATAGTCACTGATTTCATATTAAATTTATATAGATGTGGGGATATTTTTCTTCCTTGGGCTCCAATGACAAACACTTAAATTTCATGCAAAATAAAATTAATGATCTGTTCCGGCTGGATGAACCACCCTCACAAAATATTGTTGGAAATAAATTACATAAGTATAACATATGAATTGGGTATTGTATGAATTCTAAAATGCAGGGCCATCCTTTGTAATTTATTAAATAATAGCTATATTAATATCTAACATTTTAATTTGACAAATGCACTGAAAATTATACATTATGCATTAATACATTGCAGGTTGGCCTTTGCTGCATACATCTTGGCTTGTCGTGATATTTGAACGTTTATTCCAGCATGCAACCAAGACCATAAGCAGATGGGGTGTGACGCAAGTGATGAGTCTGGACTTAAGTACCTGTCCTATTTTTTCTCAGGTTGGCTCAAAGGTAAGCCACCAAATTTCTATATCAGACAGATCCATCCGTTGCAGTCAGTAGGCCTACAATTATAATTTGCCTTCCAATCCACATGGTTCAATTTCTTACAGAAAAAATAACTCTCCACACCCTAGAGATTCATAAAGTCAGGAACACGCTGCCTTGGATGCGGTTTGGCGCAGAAGGAAAGGTTTGGTTTCCCAACCGTGAGGTTGGGGTTTCAATCCCTCGCTGTGCATTTCGCTTGTGTCCTTGACCAAGACACTTATCTATATTGCTTCTCTCCACCCAGGAGTATAAATAGGTACCTGGTGGGGTTATCTGCTCCTTCGCTGTTTACCATCAACAACACTTAGCATGTGGACCCAATGAGTGGTCTTTAGATAGTCTTAATGCTTAGCTGGCTATAATCGTGACATCACTACTGGTCTATGATTATAGACCATTGCTTTAACATGGTCTAACCAGTTATCCGTCTTAATTTTTAAAGCCTACTCGGAGGAGGCTTAGTATGGTCTTAAAACATTTTTATCATGGCGTTGCAGTTACTAGACCTAGGCCTAGATTTTCAAAGACCTAGAAACGGGTCTACGTCTATGTTCATTTTGATACATGTGTATGTGTCGAGTAAACGTGACGTATGTAACAGCACCCTCAATTTTATGTTACCAGAGAGTGCTTGTTTGCGTTACAATACTAAAAGCTGTCTAAGCAAAGACCGTTTTATAGCAATGATCTTAGCGGAGTGATAAAGCCGGCTCTATTTGAGGAGTTAAGACTATCAGTTAAGACTGGTTTATAGCAGTCCGCCCCTGTACTATAGTCATGAAGGGCTAACATCTTTTGATTTTGTTATTAGTTGCTGGTATAGCACTTGTTCTTGCAGTGAAAAGGCGCTGTTTTATTGTGTCCGCATGCGCAAGTGTTGCTAACTTAGCAGCACGGATTAGCATTCATCTCCACCAGGAACCCATTTATATTTGTGGGTCGAGGAAAGTATAAGTGAAGCACCTTGCTCAAAGGACACAAGCGAAATGCACAGCAAGGGATTAAAAACCTGACCTTTAGGTTGAAAAACCAAATCCTTCCTGCTGCACCTATCAGTTATAACAATATTGACAACAGTGGAGAAACAAGACTTTCTAATGTGTTTCGTTTTCTATTTTATCAGTTTGTGCTTGGTCCTGTACTACAAGCGTTGTCGGACTACACGCTCTACATCAAAACAACCGAGAAAAGTCAATCACGGTTTTCTGATGCTACTGAAATGATGCTGGGGTTCTTTACTACCTGTGTTGCCAGCCTTCCTGTTGATCAAGCAAAAGGCAAGTAGCATGCTATTTAAATCCTTAGCCATTTATTAGAAGTTTGAAATTAATTTTGTAGGGTCTGGCAAGGATTGACAAGGCTGTCAATTGAGAATGTCACTATCAGAAAAAATAACTGAACCATTTGAAAAAATAACTAAAATACAATAAATATACAACATTTAGAATGTACAAATTGCAAAGAAAAAAATTAAGCAAAACAAAATTTTCACTAACAGAGCAAGACATTCTGAGTGTGTTCATGCGTATTCCCAAGCCAGTAATTAATTGAAAAATTTAATTCCAAAACAACCTTGTTGCAGTGAACGCAATTCGTAGGTGAAGTATTTGATGAGTACTACACGTTATTAAATTATTCTTCTTCACTCAACAGTTTTCCTACAGGAACTCCTGTCTGCTTTTGTGGACTTGCGAACAAAACCTGTTCCACTTGCATTCCTTTGCCAGTCCCTAGCAAGGGTGCCATCGTTCAAGGCTTGGGGAAACTCATCGATGAAGTGTCTTAGGTAATTATATTATATTTAATAATAGTAATAATAATAGTAATAATAAGAGTAACAAACCAAATTTTTAACCCAGGTTAAACAAGAAATAAATAAAAAAATAGAATGTTGCATAATTATAAAATAAATATTTAGTAAGTAGAAAATGGAAAGCTGTTCTGTATTTCTATTAGCCTAGAGGCTTGCTTCGTTAGAGGTCTCCCATATGTAACAAATATTGATGCTAATGTTCCAGCATTGGTTTTGCGATCCTAAAATTTATATAAAGTAATAATGTGTGAAGCATTGTATTTGCAACGCTATTGGTTCACTCTTTGTAACAGAGAAATGCTCCCACAAGGAGTGGTTTGACGAATATAAAATTTTGGAGGAAATCCTCTTACAATCAAAAAGGAAATGCAAAGTCTTGCAAATGGTACAATGGCCTATGTATATATTTGACCTTGATAGTTTTTTTGCCCTCAACATTTTAAGTATTGGTTCTTCAAATTTTAAGTTTGCACCTTTAACCTCAAGTTAAAGAAAAAAAAATACAAAAATACAAAAATTAATAATAAAAAAAATCAATTAAAAATGTGAAATTCAGTGAATGGTTTGAAAAATTAAATGCAAGACTAAGACTTCAAAATTTTCAAATTGTGTTTTTTATGGCCTTCCCCATGGCACAAAGAAGATTGGTGAAGGTGAACTGATTGTGCAGTTTTTGCTTTCTATGAAAAGAAATTCCATCCATAGAGGTTATAAACTAGGAGTAAAAATCTAGAAATTTTTAAAATAATTTATAAATTTTCTTGATTAAAATCATAATAAATGATATGGAAATCATCAAATAACCTTTAAAAATATGTGGAGATTGTTTAAGGTGTACAAAAATCCATAAAATCCTAACGTAATAAATAATAAATTAAAATAAACATGACTATTCAACATCACTTCTTTTACATTAACAGGGACCTAATGAGCAGTGGTATATCAACCATACAACCCCTGCACCGTGGGGCAATCCAATGCTTTTTGATGGACTCTGCTATAAACTTGATGGATGCTGCAGACATTAGTCTGCATCAGTTATGGACTACGCTTGCTGTCCTCAATCGTGATGAATGCATGCAGAGAGGAACCATTCTTTGGGAAAAGGTAAAAACAAATTAAGAATTAAATAGACTTTCATATGACACTTGATTTCTTGTTTAATCTGTGTTGAATTCAACTGTTGTCCTTATGTGTCCAGGATATGGCACTTCTGAGGTATTATTGGTTTCATTCAGTAAATGTATTTTTTAGGGAATTAGTTGGATTGGTCAGTTTTATAAAAAGAGGTCACACTTGCTTGTGCAAAGGTTTTCAAATTACTGAATTCATAGAATGCCTAGTTTCAGATTGAAGCTTTTCCAACCATAATTTGTCACTAATCACTATTCACTATTCAAAAGCCTGTCAAACCAACCATTTAACAGCAGATCCATGAAATTTTCAGTGTGCTTGTTATAATTGTTGTTGTTGTTACGATGTGAGTTTGTGTTAGGAAATATAGGAGTGATTTTTGCCCTACCTGACATATTACCATACTGAATGCTCAGTATGTTCCCAAATATTTGAAAAAATAAAATGCCACCCGAATCTCTTGCAAATTTTTTCGGAAGTATTTGGGAACATACTAAATTCTCGTATGATTTAAAAATAAAATTCATTTCATGGCTACGATATTTGTTTCACAGATTGCTAACTGGCTTCAGGTAAATGCTTTTGAACTGAAACTTAATACAAAGGTCCAAAGTTTGTTTGAAGCAATACAACTTGAAGTAATAGAATACATGACTATTAGCCACTCAGATGGGACACCGACAATGTCATCTGCTAAAGAAGCTACTAAGGTTGCCAGGATGTTGCTACTAATTGTTGATGCCAATCACAGAGCTAAGTAAGTATACATTAGAATGCTAATAACTAAATTGATTCTCAAAAGGATTATTTATTTTAAAAAATTAAGCAAAAATGGGCAATTCAGAAAATGGGTTAAATAAATGAATATCGAAAGGTCCACTGATTAATCTCAGATAAGAAAGTATAATACATACTCCAAGTATTGAAATACACGCCATCGTGTTGGGATTCAATATTTCGACATAATTAATGTCGAAATATTGAATCCCAACACGATGGCGTGTATTTCAATACTTGGAGTATGTATTATACTTTCTTTTGGGAAACTAGATCTACATTTTGAGAAATTTATGCCTACGTTTTGATAAATTAGACATTGAATTTTGCAATTACATTTTCATTTTAACATGGACTTTTGCTGCGTATGGCACCCCATAAGAAACCACCTTTAATTGCAATTGGTTCTAGCCAAGTACACCCAATAACAATTTACAATCGTGTGTGAAAATTCACTAATATTAGTAATCGATATCACAGTCTACAGTGCTACAGTCTATTACTTGTAATTACTATGGAAGCCAATCCAATTGGCTGACGTCAGTCAACATGGGTCTAGCCGCCAGCGGTCTAGTTCCGTTTGACCGCCCGTTCCAATATAAATTTGTTTGTGTTAGATTTGGTCAGAATGCCCTCGTTGGTTGTGATCAGGAATAATTCATGTTGGATTACTGCGGACTACATCACAACCGATTGTAACATCGTCTTGTCTTAATAGTGAAAGGGCTTTATATTGCTTTTTGGTGAAAGTTTCGTTATAATTACATAGTTATTATTTGAATTATTACTATTGTTAATCATAATAAGAGATTTTTACTTTCTAGATTTGATGACAGAGCTTGAGATGTATGTTTTCACTTGTTGTACTGAGGAAATATTTATGTATCTAACAAGAAGACTTAACTTAATGGATGAAAATGAGGTAATTTGTACAAACTAAAATAAAACTTATATTTAAAAAACAATTTATAATATAATCTGTTATAATATAAACTGTTACGATTTAAATTGATATTGTTATATGAGTATTAGACTCTTTGGCTAATTTGAAATGTTCTCATTAAAACTGTTTAAAAAGTACATAATATCTGAATGCTAAATTGCAGAATTCAAGCTCACCCTGTATTCAGGAGGTTTCTATTTAAATGTTTGATTTTCAAGCAAACAGAAATGTATGTATGGAGGCAGAGGTGAAGCCAGGATTGGCTCAACAACAGCATAAGTGGACGAACTTGCATAGTAATCAAGCCCCCATAGAAGTCTGGTTATATTATTAAATTAACCTTTTAGCGTAATTGTCAGCATTTTCTTTATTAAGGACTGTCAATTTTTTTTGGGGTTATACCTTATTTAAGTCATATAATATTGCCATTTGTACATTTTTCCATCTTGTCTTTTTTCATGTTGTTTATTAAATCTAAAAATGAACTTAATAAACTTGAACTGAATCATTTTTATTACATTTATTTTCAGTGCATAGATGAGAATAGTTTGCAAATTTACATCTCAGTCTTGGATAGATTGTGGAATGTACAACATCAGCAACCAGGGAACCTGGTTACCAGCTGTCTTCTCAAGCTTATCAATGGCAGCATTCCAATCTTAACAAGACCTCTAGTATGTTATCTGGAAGAAAATTCTGTTATATTGCTACTTTTATGATTAGAATTTTGTGTTCATTATTTTGTTCCAATGTCTTATTTTGTTTGAGACTATATCTGCTGAATAAATCTTATTTTATAAATTTGCACTGAATTCCGGAAGAAATTTATTTTTTATTCTTTTTAATGTTGTTCCCTGTCATCAGCTAAAAAACAATTAATAATATTTTCATATTTGAATTGCCTATTTAATTTGCATTTAGAAATTGAAATGAAAAGAAAAAAAAATCTCAATCGATACAGACAGTCTAATATATTTTTCCCTGATTTCTTTTGTATGGGCTTCATGAATATTTGCATAAATTTCCTGGTAATCAATTTAAGAGTCTTTGTAGTAAAATGATTGTAAATCTAAATGCTTTTCCAAATAAGTAACTATAAAATCATCTAAAGAAACAGATAATAAAATGAATGAAGCTACGAACTCAGCAGATCATTTCCTTTAGTAATTCATGTAATTTAAAACAAAACTAGTAACAGTGTAAACTTCATAATTCATTAAAAAAAAATTTATGATATTGTAATATTTTTTAAATTATTTTTCTACTTTTGTATTTCTAGAATATTACATCACAAAAGGAAGTTCTCCGCTTTATCGCCATCAGCAAAGTTTTAGGGTGGTTGATGTCCTCTTCTGTTTCTTTGTCTGCGCCTGTAAACACTTCAATTCTAAATTCCATTGGTCCCATAGATATATTTGTGAAATGCTCCCTCAAAATGGCTTCATTTAGAGATACCCTTGGGACTGCAGAAAGAGGTTCTTTAATCAGTATGTACCTTGAGAGTAAATGGAACAGCCTTTTGCAGCTGCTGCAGAGATATTCATCTGAGGTATATGCATCATGTAATCCAGAAGACATCCTGCCAGCATGTCTGGCTGATCTGTCGATTATGCAAGGAGCTGAGGTCATGCCAGCAATGCAGTGTGTTGAGCTTCTTTTGGCAAAGGTAGGCTAGAAAACCAATAATCTTGTGCTTGGGCCTCAGCCAGCACTTCTTAGAGGCCCGTTTAGAGGCCTCACTTGCAGTAATGCCAATTTAGGTCTTAATGAGGTTGACAATTGTAGGAGGGATCAGTTGGCAGTGGATCTAACTAGATTTCACTGGGCTAAAGAGTTAGTAATAGTGATCACTGTGGAAGATGAAGAAAGCGGCTGCCGGCCATCAGGTGCAAATCTCATATGGCAGTTTTTTACTACATTTCCTGCAGCACGGACATG